TGAAGCTGCCTAGGGGTTCCCAGCTATCAGTCACCTCATTAGCATACAAAGGACACTCATCACTCATCCCCAAGAGTTTGGGGAGCTATGCTGCCAGGAACTGCAGACAAAGACAAAATGTTTATTTTTCATTAACCACAGTCCCTCTACTCAGAAACCTCCAGTGGCTCCCCATGGCAACAGAGGAGAGCCCACACTTTTCAGGGTGGCCTGTAAACCGTACACAATCTCATCTCCCCTGATTCCTGCCACCTTGCTCTGGTCCGGGCTGATCCATCGTGCAGATTCCTGCCTCTGCACCTGTGCTTCATCCTCCTGCCCCCTCACTAAATCAAAATGGAATCAAGGGACTTCCCTGGTGGTCCAGTGATAAAGAATCTGCTTTCCAATGCAGGGGTCGCGGGTCTGATCCCTGGGCAGGGAACTAAGATCCCACATGCCGCGGGGCAATGAAGCCTGTGCACCACAACTTCTGAGCCTGCACGCCTCAACTAGAGAGCCTGTGTGCCACAAACTAGAGTCCATGCGCCCTGGAGCCCGTGCGCCATAACTAGAGAGAGAAATCCCGCATGCCACAACTAGAGGGAAGCCCGTGCACCACAACTACAGAGAAGCCTGCGCACCGTAACAAAGACCCGACGCAGCCAAAAAAAATTTTTTTTAAAAGGAAATAAATAGAAGCTCGCGCAGGGCAATGAAGACCCAACACAGCCAAAAATAAATAAATAAACAAAAGAAAATAAATAAAATAAATTTTAAAAAATGGAATCAAAATATTTCTTAGGACGCCATTGGTTTAGAGATGTAAGGAACCTCAGATTTTATAGATGAGGAACTGATGACCCAGACTGCTGAATGGCATAGCCCCAGATTATAGATTCATTATCTCTCAAAGGCAGAGAGAAAGGTACCCATCTCTGAATTCCGGGGATGAGCGCTGGGGATGACAAGCTCCAAATGAACAAAGTCTTGTGTAAACTTTCAAAAGCACAAACCACACACACACACACACACACACACACACACACACACAAAATTAATTTGATTATACCAAGTGGAGGATTTCTGTTCAGTGAAAAGACACTACGGACAAAATTACTAAACCTAAATAGAAGATATCTGCAATGTCTAAACTTGATTACAGATCAACACTTAGAATTCCTGAAAATCAGGAAAAATAGAGCAAACCTAATTTTTAAAAATAGAGCAAAGTATGTGAACATGCAATTAGGGAAGAGGAAACCCCCAAAGTTAACAAACATATCAAATTCACTAGTTATTAGAAAAATACAAGATCAAACAATGAGATGTCATTTTACACCTCCTGGAAAGCTGGAGAATGATGCAAAGCAGGGGTAAGGATGCGGGGCTCACATCTGCCTGGGGGTGGGTGTGGTGAGTAGAGGGCTCCAGGAAAGCAGTCTGGCGATCCTTACAGCGCAGTCCCTGTGGCCAGCAATTCTGCCCTTGGGTGTGGATCCCAAAGAAATCCTCACAGGCGGGACCCGCAGGAGGCTGCTCCGGGCAGCGCATTTGTGGAACTGCAGCACGATGTGTGCGATCTCCAAACCCATCATGGGGGAGCAGATGCTAAAACGTGTGGAGGTGTCCATGGAGCAGGATGCACAGTGTACGTACGGGGTAGATACAGAGTGACACCACTCAATGAGGAAACATTAAGAATAGCTCAGTCCAAAAAAAATAATCATCACACCTCTGGTGAGCCCTGCAAATACAAACTGCTACATGGTGTTACAGGATTAGCATTTAAAAAGAATTTTTTTTAATAAATTTTTTTTAAAAAATGTATAAAAAAATTAGTTCAGACAGTGGAACTTAGAAGAGATGGTGGAGGGGCTGGAGGAGGGTGGTAGGCTGTGCGGGGCAGTCAGAATCGGATTAAACTGAGAGCTGAAAACCCAAACCCCCATTCCTCACAACTTTTGCTCTTTTTGGCCGGGCACATGGAGCTAACCTTTACTGAGTACTCTGAGCCAGGAGGGTGCTAGGGATTTGTACATTTATTATCTCATGTATCGCTTGCAAAACTCCTACACCGTTGGGTAGGGGTGATCCCTCCTGTTTTGCAGTTGGAAACAGGACACTCAGAGAAAGCAACGTGCCAAAATCACATGGTGATGCACGTCGGATGCACATCTGAGCTGTCTTCCTGTCCCTCTGCCAATAAAGCGACACCAACTAGCGACTTGTGACATTCTCCCTCTAGAGTTTTCTGCCTGGCAGCTGGGTCCAGGGGTCTTCCCCAGGCTTGCCCTAGGCTCCAGAGCTATCAGAACCGCCCCCCCCCCCCCGCTCTCTCCCTGGGACACACGGGTCCAGAGGTCTAGGGTACTCCTGAAGTTAAGCTAGATTCTAGTAGCTTCCTCTTTGCCCTCCAGACCCACGCATCCTTAGATGTGGCTCCTCGAACCAGGTCCAGTTTCTAGAGAACTGGAGACGCCGCTGCACAACTGTTTTCCACCCTGATCTAAATCTCCAGCTTCCTGGGAGTCAAGATGTAGCGGCAGGTGGGTGGGCATGGGAGGAACATTAACAGCAGAAAAGCGATAAATTCCCTGAGAGCAGTATAAGCAAAAGGACAGTGAAAAACCTCTGTAAACCCAGAACACGGCAGAGCTTTGTTAAAGCAACGCGAGAACTAGGATTTTACGCAGGTCAAATCATGTTTGTCAAACCCCAGAACTGCACAGAGTTAAGTCTGATAAGATGCTATCAGGAACCTGGCTGTTGACCCTCCTCTCCCTCCTTACCCGCTGCCAACATTATATAAGCTGCCTAGTTTTCCTCAGGCCCCAGTCCAATTATTCTTAGTGAAACTGAAAAGAAAGTAATTCCATCCAATAGAAAGTATTCTAAAAGGTCCCGGTGGTGATGGGCTGTAACTTGCAGCAGACTGCTTTGGCTTTACCCAGAATCCTTCATAAACACTTGATATGATGACTAACACCATGAGCTTAATTTGACTTAAAGAGAAAAACATTATTATTCAAGAAAACTAGGAATTATCTATCTTTTTTTCACCAAAAAGAGTCTACACAACTGTGGACAAAAGAGTGACACAAAAAGAAAAGTTTAGAAAGTTGTGGTTTATACATGAAATCAAAACAAACTTATGTAAGGTTTATTCTTCCTCAGAGGAAATGGCAACGTAGGCTAGTAACAGGTTAATTTTATAAATATTTATTCTGCTGTTACCTTAGGGCAAAGCATCAGGCAGGTTGAGCTGCGCAGATAAGAACGCGATGAGGCCACTCACGGAATTCTTGGGACCCACGATTCTTTGGTGGAGTCCAGATGCTGGCGAGCTCCCCAGATAAACTCTGGGGCTCAGGGGTCCCTTTGTATTGCTGCTGCTTTGAGCATCCCTGATAACCTTAAAACCAACGATCAGAATGGAGAGGAGAGCTCTCTGCCCTTCTTTCATCTCTCTACAATGAGCTTTCTTGGAAAACCCCCCCCAGACAAAACAACTCTACCCTCTTATCTTCTCCTGTCCTCCTCTCTCCAAGTTTCCAGCTGGGGTGAGGGGTGGGGGAAATACAGCACCGTGCTTTGCTGACCTCTGTGCTCTTCTGATACAAAGTGTGCCATTAGCCCTCTGTATTCCAGCCTGTACCACACCTCTCCCTGCCTTCCAGATGCACACACATGGACTTCACAGATTTCCCTGGATCCCTGCTCTGTTCTTCTAAAGCTCCTAGGATTTCTTGCCCCCAGTTTCTCCACAGAATCTCTTTATTCTAGGATTTTACACAGGGTTAAACTTGGTGCTGGTTTGAGTTACAAAAGTCATACCTATTTATTATTGTGTAACTAACTCCTCTCTGCTCCTTTTCTAGAATTCAGTCTAACCAATAAGGCACCACCTTTAACAGAGCACTGGGGAACTTGGACTTAAACTCTTGCCCATGTTTTAAGAGCCTCTCATCTCTTAAGCTGGAGTCTCTTCCTAAATCTCTTCTGCTAAACTGGTTTTACTGAAATCCTTTGAAACCCAGTGTTTTCAGCATTTTGGCCTCCTCTCGAAGTTTCTTTCTTTCTGTGTTTAAACCTCTACAGCAGGGTCTGGTAATAATAAGAACTAACATTTAAAGAGGCCATACTATGTGCTAGGCAATCCTCTGAAGGAAGGAACTGAGGCAGAGAGAAAGTCAATTGCACACAGAAGGTGCCCAGCCTTTTTCCCAAGTCTGCCAGCTTAAATATGCTTAAGCTGCGGGGTCAAAGGGCTCTGGAGTCCATTCTTAACCTGTCTCCCTATTCTGGACCTGCATAATGCACTCAACCTCTTTGACCCTGAGTTAGTTTCACTTCCAATTATTGGTAAATCTAGATAAAGCATTCTTCGAAAGACCGACCAGTAAATGAGAGGTTCGTGACGAGTCTACCTCGGTCCCAGGCTCTGGATAATTGGGGTCCTACGCACCCCAGCGGAACGCCCTCACTGGCAGGGCTGGAACCCGTTCCTCGAAACGCCCCATCTCACGGTGAGGGTGCAGCAACATCAGTCCGTTTAAGACGAATCGGCCAAGGGACGTCTATGTCTGCGTCCACCTGGCACACTGACGGGGAGTCTCGCTTTCTCCCCACATCGCTCTGCGCCCCGGTCCCAGGCTCGCCACCCGTGCCTCGCCGTCGGCGGCTCCTCCACCCCGGCTTCTCTCTCGGTCCGGGGACTCTACCCAGGGAGCTCCCGAGCTTCCCGGGCTCGCCTTCTTACCATGGCATCGTAGCGCAGGGCGTTCATGAAGTGCGCCACCTCGGCGCCCTTGTACACGGTGAACCAGATGGTACCCTGGTACTGGTCGCCGGCGTCGAGCAGCAGCACGTGGGGCTCGGCGCGGCGGATCTGGCGCACCTTGGTGGCGAGCCGTGCCACGCCGCCCACGCAGCGGCTGGCGTTGACGCACTTGCTAGAGTCCTCGCTCGTCTGCTCCAGCCGGCTGTGCACGTCGTTGGTGTGCAGTATGGTGAGCTCCCAGCCGCCTGCCGCGGGCCACAGCAGCGCGCCCAGCGCGAGCAGCCTCAGCGCTGAGGCGCGTGCGCCTCGGGGACCCATGGCTGCAGCTGCCGGCGAGGGCGCGAGGGCGGTGAGTGCTGGCGAGCCGCGCGGGTGGAGGCGTGCGGTGGCGAGCGCGGAGGGCGCCGGAGTCAAGTGCCCTGGCCGGCGAGCGGGCGGGCCGGCGGGCGGGCGAGGCGAGGCGGGGCCGGGCCTGGGCGGGCTCTCCTGAGGCCCGGAGGCCGGCCCCACGGCCAGGCGCACGCCCGCGCGGTCACCCGATAGGACCCCGGCCCGCCGGGCTGCCGGGGCGCGGCTGGCGGCTGGCACCCGCTCCGGGCGGGAACAGTGGGGAGGTTGTTCACGCTGGGGACCGGGCACCGGCCGCGGGCCCGGCCCGTCCGGGGAGCCTGGTCGCCGGCGGTGGGCTGTTCTTAACGGGGTGCGAGGGAGGAGTTGGAGGGTCCACCCCGCTTCCAGGTCCTCGCTGATTCTCGCCTCTTTAAAATTTTTCTAAAGAGGGATGCCTTGTTTGTGTGAGTGGGTTTGTGGTTGCGCGAGCTCATCACTTGAAAGAACGAAAGAGGAAAGAGGAGGTGGAAAGGAAGAAGGGCGAGACGAGGGAGACGGGAGCGCTGTGCTTTTGGGGCTGTGGGAGCCAAAGACGGGTCGTGAGCTGTGACTGCTCCCTTGCCAGTTTAAGGACACACCAGGTCTGCGTTGCTTAGACGTAGAATCTCAGAAGCTAGAAATCATTCTAATCCAGTCGCGCGTTTATGGATGATTATAACCTTAGCGACACAACAGCAGCGGTGCGCGGTAGCTCTTGGAAGCTAAAACGGACCATCCCGAGTAAAACCAGTAGCGCTGAGGGTGTGATGCTGCCTTCTGTTGCTTTTCTCGGCTTTTTTTTTTTTTTTTTCCTGTCCTATTTTAGAGGTTTTAATGTTTTAAGGATGGTGTGGGGGGTGTGTGTGTGTTTAAGGCAAAACTTCTGGCAAGGAAGGCAATGCTAATAGGAATGCATACAGTAAACAAATCATCATTAAAATCGAGTTAATATTGCTGCAGAGTTTCCCCCTGTTTAAGAGATTGATTCCTGGGTACAGTTAATAATCGAATTTGGGAAGGGAAGGAGCCCCTACTAGGTGTCCCATTATTTATGCTTTAAAGAACAGCCTCTGTTGTCCTCACACTTCTCCAAAATTCATCAAGCCAGTCCTGCTGTATTTTTTAAAGCTTTGGGGAACAAAATATACATAACATAATTTACCATTTTAACCATTTTAAATGTGCAGCTGAGTGGCATTAAGTACGTTCACATCGTTGTGCAGCGATCACCACCATCCATCTCCAGAACTTTTTCATCTTCCCAAACTGAAACTCCATAGACATTAAAAAATAACTTCCCATTCCCCTCTTCCCTCAGCCCTTGGCAACCACCATTCCACCTTCTGTCTCTGTGAATTTGAGTACTCTAGGTATCTCATATAAGTGGAATCAAACAATTTGTCCTTGTGTGACTCATTTCACTTAGTATAGTGGTTCAAACATGGCTGTTCAAGGTTGTGGCATGTGTCAGAACTTTCTTATTAAAGGTTGAATAATATTCCATTATATGTATATACCACATTTTGTTTATCTATTCATCCATTGGTGGACACGGGTTGTTTCCACTTTTTGGCTGTTGTGAATAATGCTGTTATGAACGTGGGGTACGATATCTGTTCAAGTCTCTGCTTTCAATTCTTTTGGGTATACACCCAGACATAGAATTGCTGGATCGTATGTACGGTAGTTCTATGTTTCATTTTTTGAGGAACTGCATACTTTCTTCTATAATGGTTGCCCCATTTTACATTTCCTTAAGCCATGCACAAGGGCTCCAATTTCTCTACATCCTTGCCAATACTTATTTTCTGCTTTTGCTAATAGCTGTCCTAAACGGTGTGAAGTAGTATCTCATTGTGGTTTGATTTTCATTTCCTTAATAATGGATGACGTTGAACATCTTTTCATGTGCTTATTGGCCATCTGTATATCTTACTTGGAGAAATGTCTGTTCAAGTCCTTTGCCTATGTTTTAATAGGATTACTTGCGTTTTTTGTTGTTGTTGTTGAGTTGTAGCAGTCTTTATATATTCAGGGTGTTAACTCCTTATCAGATATGTCAGGGGTCCCCAACCCTCCTACCAGTACCAGTCCGTGGCCTGTTAGGAACTGGGCCGCACAGTGGGAGGTGAGCGGCAGGCCAGCCAGTGAAGCTTCATCTGTATTTACAGCCGCTCCCCATTGCTCGCATTACTGCCTGAGCTCCGCCTCCTGTCAGCATTATGGTGAGGTGTATAATTATTTCATTATATATTACAATGTAATAATAATAGAAATAAAGTGCACAGTAAACATAACATGCTTGAATCATTCCGCAACCATCCCCCCTGACCCCCACCCCAGTCTGTGGAAAAGCTGTCTTCCACAAAACCAGTCCCTGGTGCCAAAAAGGTTGGGGACTGCTGAGATATATGATTTATGAATATGTTCTTCCATTCTATGGATTGTCTTTTCACTCTGTTGATACCATTGCTGCACAGAGTTTTATATTTTGATGATGTCAGATTTATCTATTTTTTTCTTTTGTTGCCTATGTTTTTAGTATCATATCCAAGAAATCATTGCCTGATCTGATGTCATGAAGCTTTCTCCCATGTTTTTTTCTAAGAGTTTTAGTTTTAAGTCTTCAATCCATTTTGAGTTAATTTTTGTTAATGGTGTAAGATGAGTGCAAAGGTGTTCTTTTACATGTAGATATCCAGTTTTCCCAACACCAGTAGGATGGATATTTATTTATTTATCATAAGGTATTGGCTCATGGGATATGGCGAAGTCCCACGATCTGCCTTGTGCAGGCTGGAGGCCCAGGAAAGCCATTGATGTAGCCCAAAGGCCCAAGAGCTGGAGAGCCAAGGTGTAGATTCCAGTCTGAGTGTAATGGCCTGAGAAGCAGGAGTGCCAGGACAGGAGAAGTGGTTGTTCCAGCTCAGCAGTCAGGCAGAGAGGGAATTCAACCTTCCTCTGTCTTTTTGTTGTATTCAGGCCCTCAATAGACTGGATGGTACCCACCCACACTGGGGAGGGCCATCTGCTCTCCTTAGTCCTCCACCTCAGATGCTAATCTCTTCTGGAAATATCCTGACAGACACACCCAGAAATACTGTTTAACCAGCTATCTGGGCATCCTGTGGCCCAGTCAAGTTGACACATAAAATTAGCCAGCATGGAGAGTGTAAATCATTTGCCCAGGGAAAGCTGTACAGGTTAGGAGCAGCAGAGCCTGAGGCCATACAAGACCCCTTAATCCTGAAATTCATGCTTTGCAATATTTGCCCACCTGGCTGAAAGGTAGAGGAACTGGTAGTTTTTTTTTAATTAAAATTAATTTTAGACTTACAGAAGACTTACAGAGGTAGTACAGAGAATTCTCACACACCCTTCACTTATCTTCCCCTAAAGCAAACAGCATATATAACCATCAAAACGAAACAAACGGGCTTCCCTGGTGGCGCAGTGGTTGGGAGTCCGCCTGCCGATGCAGGGGACGCGAGTTCGTGCCCCGGTCCGGGAGGATCCCGCGTGCCGCGGAGCGGCTGGGCCTGTGGGCCGTGGCCGCTGGGCCTGCGCGTCTGGAGCCTGTGCTCCGCGACGGGAGGGGCCGCGGCAGTGAGAGGCCCGCGTACCGCAAAAAAACCAAAACAAACAAAAAAAACCACTAAACAAACAATACTGAAACAAAACTATGAACTATGTTGCTGACTTTGTTTGGAGCTCACCAGTTATTCCATTACTTTTCTGTTCCAGCAGCCGATCCAGGGCACCCCACTTAGACCTTAATCTTGTCTCCTCTAATCTGTGACAGTTTCTTGGTCTTTTTTTTTTTTTTTTTGGTGGTACGCGGGCCTATCACTGCTGTGGCCTTTCCCGTTGCGGAGCACAGGCTCCAGATGCGCAGGCTCAGCGGCCATGGCTCATGGGCCCAGCCGCTCCGCGGCACGTGGGATCTTCCCGGACCGGGGCATGAACCCGTGTCCCCTGCATCGGCAGGCGGACTCTCAACCACTGCGCCACCAGGGAAGCCCAGTTTCTTGGTCTTTTGTCTTTCATGACCTTGACACTTTTGAAGAGCACTGGTTTTTGTATACTGTCCCTCAGATTGGGTTTGTCTGATGTTTTCTCCTGGTGAGGCTGAGGTTATGGATTTGGGGCGAGAATACTGCAGAGGTGAGGTGCCTTTTCATCACGTCATATCTGTGGGTACATGATATCAACACAGCTTACCACTGACCACTGGAGAACTGATGCTTTGTTGTTTCTTGCTTTTTAAACCTGGGCCATTGAAATAGTCTTCAAAATTCCTGTCCTGGGGATGCCACCAAAATTCTGCTCCAACATCATTCCTCTGTCATTTGTTTGCACACAAGATCTAAAATGACTTTGCTTGCTTATTGGATCAGATTCAAACTTCCCAACCTGGCCTTTTAAACAGTCACTTCATCCATCTAACTTTACTTTCCACTGTCCCTCCCAGGTCCATGCTTCCTCTTTCCTTCCCTCCCCACCATTCTCAGCCTGCCCTCAGGCTGAGGCCCAAGTTTCCTTGAGGGCCTGGTTCAAGTCCCTGTGAAATTTCTTTGACTACTCCAGACAGCAGTGAGCTTTCTTTTCTCTAAATTTCTGATCTATTCTTACACTCTCGCTTTCTTGTGGTTTTGCCTTTTTCCCTAGGTGTTCAATGTGTGTGGCTTGTCTTTCCTCCAAGTGCTAAATACAAAGTAGCTGCTTCAGTAGTGTGATTCACGTAGCACCCACCTAAAATCTACCTAGACATCATTCAGCTAGTAGGTGGCAGACAGATTTTGAATAGAATTGAATTCCAGCACTCAGACTACATTGTATGGTCCTTAAGTGTTAAGGAGTAGACATTATCACTCCTCTTTTATAGGTAATAAACTTTAGGTTCTGCATGTTAAATGGATTGCCCAAGTTTCCACAGGTGGACTTTTCTTTTTTGGCCGCCAGGAGGGGCATGTGGGATCTTAGTTCCCCGACCAGGGATCGAACCCACGCCCCCCTGCATTAGAAGCGCGGAGACTTAACCATGGACCACCAGGGAAGTCTTCCACAGGTGGACTTTTATCTTTTATGTGTGTAACTATATCTCACACAAGGTCTCTGTCCACTCACAATGTTTATTTCCTACTGTCCTTCATCCCGGCATCTCTGATACCCAGGGAGCAGTTCTTGGGGATTTCTGAGGTCCCTCAAGAAGCTTGGGATCATCTCCTACAGCTTTTGCCATGGTCTCTTTGTGGCCACAGCAGGATGGTCAGTGTATAAGCTGCCCCTTTCATAAACCACAAGGAATAGAATGGGTTGGGTCCGAGTCAGTCCGGGACACACAGAATTTACAGGGCCTGAGGACACAGGCCGTCGTGCCCACACACCCCCTCTGGTACCTCAGCGCAGACCCACCTCCCTCTCCAGCATCCTGGAGGCAGACAGATGTTCGATGTGCAGCCTCTCTGTCACAGCCCACTCACATTCCCCCCCACCCGAAGATGTAGCAGCAGTAGCATCTCCCCCCATCAGACCCTGCCCCCTCCACACAGTGGACTTTCTCCCTCCCCTCAGCCTCCATCAGAAGCCACATGGAATGTGGGCCTTTCTTCCTCCAGGTGGGATTGTGATGCTTTTCCCACAGGCAGGAGGACCTGTGACACTCCTGGGACAGAATCCTCTGTGGCTCTGAGTGGACAGGTTTGAATATCACTGTTGCCTCTAGGCCCCTTCTGCTTCTACAGTATGTAGTACCATGTTGCTGGATTCAGAGTCCAGAGAATTCAAGTACATCCTTCTGTTAGATCCTACCAAATCACCAGGAAGAAAAAGAAAGGTGCACAGAAAAATGTAAATCCTTACTCCATTTTATACCAGAGGATCAACTTGAGAGCTACTGTGATTCTTTTTTTTTTTTGAACATTTATTTATTTATTTATTTGGCTGTGTCGGGTCTTAGTTGCGGCACACGGGATCTAATTCCCTGACCAGGGATCGAACCCGGGCTGCCTACGTTGGGGACTTGGAGTCTTAGCCACTGGACCACCAGTGAAGTCCAAGAGCTATTGCAGTTCTTAAAGGGAAAACTCTGGGAGCCTTGTTCTCTGTTTAGCAGGGAACAACTTAAGAACTGCTCTTGCTTAGCAGTTTCCATTTACCATGAGCCCTAGATATTTATTTCCTAGCTCTTCAGAAAATCTTCCAAGATGTTTATGTCCATTTGAAGTCCTTAATGTGCTGGGGCAAAAATTAACTTTTCTTCCAAATTCTTGTAACATAACTTGGTGTCTGTTCCCCAAGTGTGTAGGCACTCATGCTTTAGAATTAGGGAGAGTTCCAAGCAGAATTGTTAATATCTTCAATAACAAATAAAATTGTATCCAGTGCTTTGCCTGTAGTGTGTGCTCAGGTCATATTTTACTTGGTTTGAGAGAAGTCCATAGGAATTGGGATTGGAAGCTCTTTGTTCATGTATTCAGCAAATACTTACTGAACACTTACTATATGACAGGTGTCAGAGGAGGCCAAAATGTTATGGGTTGAATTGTGTCCCACCAACTGTGACCTCCAGGACCTCAGAATGTGACCTTACTTGGAAATACAGTCTTTATAGAGGTATCAAGAGGAAATGAGGTCATTAGACTGGGCCCTGATCCAGTATGACTGGTGTACTTATTAGGGAAATTTGGACACAGGGACAGGTGCACATAGAAAGAAGGAAGACATAGTGAAGACTGTTGAAAACAGACAAGAGGCCCTAAGTGGAGCCACTTATGCTGAGCCCCAAGTCACAAAACCAAGACTTAATTACAGTTTCGGCTCTCCCAGAAATGGAATCTTACACCAGTCAATAAGGCCTAGCCTGACCAGCACCAGTCAGGTAATCTGCCCGGCAGGCCCCTGCCATCCCCTATAAGGAAAGTAAGCTTGCAATAACCAATCTGCTGTTTTGCCTCCTGCAACTTCTTTATTCCTGCTCCCTTCTGCCTATAAGATCTCCTGCCTTGTATAACTCTTCAGGGAACTTTTCCATCTACTAGATTGGATGCTGCTTGATTCATGAATCTTTGAATAGAGCCAATAAGATCTTTAAAATTTACTCAGTTGAATTTGTTTTTTAATCAAGACACACACAGGGAGAACACTACATAAACTTGAAGGCAGATAGCAAGGTGAAGCTTCTACAAGCCAAGGAACGCCAAAGATTGCCTGCAAACCATCAGAAGCTAGAAGAAAGGCATGGAACAAATCCTTCCATCGCAGTCCTCAGAGAGAACCAGCTCTGCTGACACCTTGATCTCGTTCTAGTCTCCAGAAAAATGAGCCAGTAAATTTCTGTCGTTTCAGCCACTCAGTTTGTGGTACTTTGTTATGGCGGCCCTAGGAAACTATACATGAAAGCAGAAGGAAGCAATCACAAAACTGTGTGACATGATGCACGGGGCATACATGTGACCCCTCAGAGGGAGCAGAAGCCGAGTCATGCAGTCCTTGAGGGCCAATGTAAGGGCTTTAGATTTGCCCTTGGGTCAAAGGAGGGAAGATAGTGGAGAGACAAGCCAGGAGGTCCATGCCGCTGGCAGAAGGCACGTAAGGATTTTATTTTTAGTTTTTTAAACCACAGAAGAGGACATATTCTTCCCCACCTGAACTCTTTTCTTCTAGCAGGATGGAGGCTTCCTTAACTGGAAACAGCTAAGAGATGGAGCAAAGCCCCAAGATCCTTGGCAGCAGAGGGAAGATAAGGAAGATGTACAAGTACCCCTGGAAGGGTCTTACACTGGAGTGCATGCCCTGGTCCGGCTGCTCCCCCATTCGTGTTGCTCCAGGTGCCGCCCAGGCCACGCCAAGCTGCTGTGGGAAGAAGACCATGGATGGGGGCATTTTGATTTCACGTATTTGATGATTTTTAGCCAGAATGTCTGTGAATGAAATTATAACAGTTAGGTGAATTAAACTGTTTTTAAAGCAATGATCCTTTTTCTCCCCCAGCAGAGTTTAAAACTCAAGAAGGGAATTTATATTTGGGCCAATAAGAAGAAACCAAAGAATTGATAAGAAGCTTGGCATGAGACCAAGGTCTTCCAATCTTCCAAAGGCAAAAAACTAGATTCTAGAAAGGAGCAGGGAGTTGCCATTCTTTGGCAATGTGCTCATTTAAAAATAATATTTATTTTTCTGCCAAAACTGTTTTTTCCAAATTTGAGGATTTTTGTATCGAATGCCCTTTAAATTTCAAAAGTTTTTTTTTTTTAAACATTGCAATAAAACTGGAAAGATCTATGGATTTACCTTGATTTTAAAGAATATAATTTTGTGTTTCATTCTGTAGTGATACACGCAGTTATTACAGAGTGAAAAATTGGAAATTTGGTGTACAGTAAGTATTTGGATTTTTACACTAAAACCAAAAATGATAAATACTATGCAAATGTGATAAAACATGGGATTTCAATTGCAATTAGAGTGTATTATAATGGGAAAAAATAGTGTCTTTTAAGAAGGAAATAGTTCTAGCAGGACCCTGGACTTATATGAATCTATAAAATTTTCCTCTCAAACATTCTGAGTAAGATTCATTTTACAGTCAGTGTTTATTTTTTGTTTTTGCTTTTTCCTTTCATATGTTTTGGTTATATATTATAATATTTTAAATTGGCTTGGGAGAATTTGAACTCATAATTTTAAAGTAACTGATATTTGTATTTATTCAGTGACTTCTGAGAATTTGCAGTTCTACACTATGTTTATCTGTAATTAAAATAAGGATCCTGATAATGTGAATTTCACCCAGGAATCTTTTGAACAAAACCTCAAAAGCCTGTATTGCATTGTTCCTTGCTAATTGGTAGTAGGTACCTTCTCTGCAGGAAAATTAAACACTTTGATGGGCATTGGTTAAAATAATACTAATAATACTAACTGGGAGAATCATTTGGATGTGTATGATACACACTTTAGAATAACTATTATATTTTAAATTTATAAGAGAATGTTGCATGTTTAAAACGACAAAAGTTTATAGGTATGAAAAGTGTGCAAAATTTAAAATCTTTGGAGATAAGGCCAGGATGTAACAAAGTTAAAAAATATATATACTTGAACATAAAAATTTTGATGTTACTAGAAATTAAACAGTAGGAGTTAGAATTGGTTTATTTAGTTAGAAATCATATGACTCTTGTATTTATAACTATTCAGTCATTATAGATGGACCAGAGGATGATGACAAATAAACTATTGTTTATCTGCCAGGATTTTCCCATTATTTCAAAACAGAGGACATCCTTCTATTAGTAGCTAAAACCAGCTACCATCTAAAACCAAAAGGAATTATTAGAAAGTTCTGAATTATATTCAGAATTGAGATTTGTATTGATACTGTATTTTTTTAACTTAAATTGTGGGATAAAGTAAATAATTATATTAATTTTATCAGGAAAAAGATAAGTACAAGATATTCAGTTTAGAGGAAATCAAAAATGGGAGCACCGACCTGTTACAACTGGATTGGAAATATCAATATTAAATCATTCCTTTAAAAGAAAATCCTGTTTAGCTCTTCCACTAAAATCGCCCAGGAGCAGTATCGCCCCATGACACAGGCTAATGTCCAGTACTATGATCTCTAGTACTATTTTCCTCTAAAACAAACAACTGATTCCATGTCTGGGGCTAAAAGGTACAAGTAAACATAAGAATTAGGCAATGTGTGTAACATGAATCTGGGGAAGTGGCCATGGTGATCACCCTGTCCTTGATGGTGTGAAATCATTGTTATAACAACTGTAAATAGGGTTCTGGGCATCCTATCAGGGTCCAAAAAAAAAAAAGAATCTAGGTAGCTGTATGGCCCAAATCAGTGCTAATACATGAGATCATTGACTTTATAAGAAGCAGCAAGTGGTCTTCCAGTTGCTGTGATGGGAGACTCACACCGTAAGTAATCTCATGAGATTGCCCATGATGGTTCCAATAACTGGAGGGCATACTGCTGTCTTCATTAAAGGCAGTCTATTCCAACTTCCTTTCAGAAAAACCGTGAGCTGCCAGGCCACACTTATTTCCACACCAACGCAACCTTTCCAGCTCACAGTGAAACTGAGCGGGACCCTGTGGGGGTCCTGGGCAGGGAAGCCTTTCTGTCCCCTGTTTCTTGTAGGACTCCAGCCTCCACGACCTTCCCTGGGTTCTAAGGGGCAGATTCCAACAGTTGCTAATCTGGGAAGGGAGGGGATTCAGGGATGGGGGAGAGGAAGCCAGGAAACTATAGTGCAGCCTTGGGGCAGGGTCCTGGTTCCCCCTCAAGGGATACACACAGCAATGTCTTCAAGCTCTTTAAGATGTCAGCATTTTTCACACCAGAGGAAGATTACCTGAGGCTACATTAAAGGAACCAGAGAAACTCATCCATAAGATTACCTGAGACCAGATTAGAGGAGTGCAGGCCGGGCACACACCCTAATCTCATCAGCAACCCTACCCTTGAACCGTTGCTGTAAAACTCCTCATCAGATCCTCCTGGGTTGGGGTATACAGTTTTTCAGGGCAGGAGCCCGCTGTGTCCCCCTTTGCCTGGCAAAGCAATAGAGCTATTCTTTTCTACTTCACCCAAAACTCTGCCTCTGAGATTTGATTCAGCACCGGTGCACAGAGGCTGAGTTTTCAGCATCAAGAGGTTCTTAAGGTTATCTGTGCAATGGACCTTTTGCCAGTCTGGCGAAGCCTATGGACTCTTCTCCTAATAATGTTTTAAATGCATAAGATAAATTGGATTACAAAATAAACTAATTATAGTGAGATACAATTATCAAAATATTAAAAAATTGTGTTATAGTAATACATGTATTCTTTATTAACACATTAAATGACAAAAAAACATTTAAAGTATTGGCAAGGTAAACTAGGTTTTCTTTTTTGAAGACATTAGTGTGAAAGCAGTAGTTGCTTAGCTTGAATAAGAGAATTAAACTATGGGGAGGGCCTTTGTCAAGGCAACATGCATGCATGTTGGGAAGCCAGTCAGTTTTGATCTTCTGTTTGGATGGTCACAGTGTTGAAAATCCCAGTTCTCAAAATATATTGTTGTGATTAGAATTAAGGCTTCCATAGTTCACTTTACAAGGCCAAGATAGGCAGACGTATTTCAGAGAACATCACAACTTTAAAAATTAAATGCCAGCTGTAGTCAAATTTTTGTCCAGAAATCAGTGAGTTCTTCTTTGGCTACATCATTATTTTCAACATAGATTCTCAATCTTTCTTTTATGTTTAGTATTTTTTACATCCTGTAGATGACCTGGGGTAGACAAATATTTCTTCAACAGAAGATCTTCAGTATAAAAGTAAATAGAAATGATGGTAGTAGGCATCCTTATGTTCTTCTAAAATTGAGGTGGAAATCATTCACTATTTTCACTGTAAAGTATGATGGTTTTCTGTAGGGTTTTTTATGTAACTTTATCAGACTAAAAACAATCCCTTCTATTTTCATCTTGTTGAGGAGTTTTGGTCATGTTGACTTCTTTGAAAAGAGAAATCTGAGAACACTGGGGTCATTTCAGAGGCCTATCAAAAGTTATATCTATTTAGATGACATTAAAGTTGAATGATGGATTCACAGTTCTTTCCTTTCTGATATTAACTGTGTCCTCCAGCATTTAAAAGTTGAAAGGATCAGCAAAATATTCACAAATCAAATCCAGCAATATATGAAAAGAATTATATACCATGACCAAGTGAGATTTATCCCAGGTATGCAAGGCTGATTCATCATTCAGAAGTCAATTAATGTAAACAATCACATCAACAGACTAAATAAGAAATATCACATGATCCTATCAATAAATGCAGAAAAAGTGTTTGACAAAATTTAACACCCATTCATGATAGAAACTCTAAACTAGGAATAGAAGGGAACTTATTCAACTTGATAAAGAATATTGACAAAGAATCTAAAGCTAACATTATACATAATGGTGAAAAACTTGAAGTTTTCTGACTGAGATCAGGAATAAGAAGAGGATGTCCCCTCTCACCTTTGCTTTTAACCATTTTATGGAAAGTCATAGCTACTTTAATAAGGGAAGAAAAAGAAATAAAAGGTAAACAGATTAGGAAGGAATAAATAAAACTGTCTTTGTTCACAGATGACATGATTATCTATGTAGAAAGCCTGAAGGAGTTCCTGGAACTAAAATGCAATTATAACAAGGTTGCAAGATTCAAGGTCAATATTCAAAAGTCAATTGCATGCAAAAGAATTAAACTAGACTACTATCTTACACCATACAACAATATTAACTCAAAATGGAGTATGACTTGAATGTAAGACCTGAAACCATAAAACTCCTGTAGAAAACATAGGTGGTAAGCTCCTTGACATTGGTCTTTGCGATGATTTTTTGACTCTGACTCTAAAAGCAAAGTCAACAGAAACAGACAACTGGTACTACATCAAATTAAAAAGCATCTGCACAGCAAAGGAAATCATCAACAAAATGAAAAAGCAACCTACTGAATGGGAGAAAATATTTGCAAATCATATATCTGATAAGGGTTAATATATAAAATATAAAGAACTCATACAATTCAATAGCAAAAAAGTCAAACAGTCTGATTAAAGAATTGGCAGAACATTTTCGAAAGAAGACATACAGATGGCGAACAGACACATAAGATGCTCAACATCACTAATTAGGGAAATAAATAAAAATCAAAACCATAACAAGATATGACCTCACACCTGTCAGAATGGCTGTTATCAAAAAGGCCATGAATAACACAACATTGTAAATCAATTATATTTCAATAAAAAAATATTAAAAGTAAAAAAAAAAAGACCATGAATATCAACTGTTGGTGAGGGTGTGGAGAAAAGGGAACCCTGGTGCACTGTAGGTGGGAATGTAAATTGGTGCAGCCACTATGGAAAACAGTTTGGAGGTTTCTCAAAAAATTAAAAATAGAACTACCATGTGATTCAGTAACTTCTAGATATTTACCCAAAGAAAACAAAAATACTAATTCAAAAAGATACATGCACCCCAATGTTCATTGCAGCATTATTTACAAAAGGCCAATATACGGAAATAACTTAAGTGTCCATCAACAGATGAATGGATAAAGAAGATGTGAGATACACAGACAGACAGACAGACACACACACACACACAAACACACACACACAATAGAATACTATTCACCCATAAGGAAGAATGTAATTTTGCCATTCACGACAACATGGATGGACCTGAAGGGCATTATGTTAAGTGAAATAAGTCAGACAGAGAAATACAAATACTGTACGATTTCACTTACATATGGAATCTAAAAAACAAACAAAACAAAACAAAATCAACCCCATAGATACAGAGAACAGAGTGATGGTTGCCAGAGGGGAGGGAGGTGGAATGTGGGGGGAAATAGGTGAAGGGGGTCAAAAAGTACAAACTTCCAGCTATAAAATAAATAAGCCCTGGGGATGTAATGTACAGCATGGCAACTATAGTTAATAACACTGTATTGCATATTTGAAAGATGCTAAGAGAGTAAATCTTAGAAGTCCTCATCACAAGAAAAAAAAGGAAAAAAATTGTAACTATGTATGGTGATGGATGGTAACTAATTGTGGTGGTCATTTCACAATTTATACAAATATTGAATCATTATGTTGTACATCAGACACTAATATAATGTTATATGTCAATTATACCTCAATAGAAAAAGAAAAAAAAGTAAATTGCTTTCCTATATACCAGCAATGAACAAGTGGAATTTGAAATAAAAAACACAATACCACTTACATTAAG